ATTAACCCTAGCAATTTCCACCTCCTTCTCAACGCTTTTCTTCTACCCCACTTGGAGTTTGCTATTCAGGCTTGGAGCCCTTGGTTGTTGAAGGACCAACGTATACTCTATGCCCCACAACATCGAGCTACAAAACTGGTCCGAGGTCTGAAGCACCTAGATTATGCTCAGCGACTTCACTGCCTGAGCCTCTACTGGCTTAAGTACTGACGTCCACGGGGCGACCTGCTCCTCGTATTTATGATCTTGTCGCCACCTACTCACACTGCGCCAATCGTGCTCCCACCTACGTGGCCACCCACTGAGGCTCACATATCAGCACCGCTAAACAGCCGCATGTGTGCGGTTCGACTTGGAACCTCTATTGGGGTTAATAAGCTGTGTCTGAAGACAAGGTGCCTTTTCATCGCTTCAATTTAGGCTCGGAGAGTATCAGAGACTATTTCTATCAATGGCTCTCTTATTTACATGACAAAGAATACTGACATCGTGATTGTTGCTGGTGACCTAAATACCCAAGTGGGCCGTCTTTCAGACTGTGAACAGCATCTAGGAGGACGCTTCTTAGTCGATGCACGCCGAACAGAAAATGTTGATCGATTCCTACAACTGTGCATCTACCACAACTTTTACGTTGGCAGCACTGCTTTCCAACACAAACACACACACGGCGTCACTTGGCACCCACCGAATTCCACAATGATCTGGACCCAAATTGATCATATTGCCATCAGCTGCGGGTAAGACACATCAGTCCATGACTGTCGGTCAATTTGGAGCACATGCCCCGATTCCGACCATGCTCTAGTACGCCCACGCCTGGAACTCACTTTCCAGTTCAAAGAGGAGCCTATCTTTTACTCTTGTTACTTGTAACTTGAACTCGCAGTCTGCGATTTAACGATGTCATAGCGAACTGGCCCATCAGTTGTCAGTGATGAATGAGGTTGTTGAGTCGAACGCTGACTTGGATCGTCTCAAGTTACAAGTGAGAGATCCGGCTCCCGCCGTACCGAAGAATAGGTTATTGGTGATCGGAGTATGCGCTAACCCCGGCAGTTTTACTGAAAATTTTCACTACTCGATCTGGTCTCGTCAGTGCGCTGTTAGCTAGTGGAGCGGAGCGGCGCAGTGCGTTACCTCATTAAGTGACTAATGGATCGTCTGGATGAACGAGCTGTCAGTCAGAGTTTGGATTGGTCGACGGAAACTTGGCCATCGAAATTAACCTCTGGGATTCGTGCCTCGTAGCGTTAGCACGCGTACTTCTGCGGTTGACGTCGCCGTTTGTGCTGCTTGCCCGGCGTTCTGTTCCGTTAGATTTACTTGATTAAGTTCGTGATCTTTCATCCGTTGCGCTGCCTTTATAGCATCTAGTTCAACGTGTCGGTTGAATAAATTGCCTGTGGAATACCATGCTTCCAATACTCCTCTAGCTTGACTCGAATTTCCATGGCCTAGGGTTTTTGTGTTCTCTACGTCGAAGTGCCGGCCTTGGTCTTCATGCTTGGAAACCAAAGAATGTGGGTCATGTCTCCGTATGGCCATTTTTTGCTCATTGATCCGCGTCGAGAGGCTTCCTCCAGTTTGTCTAATGTGGTGTTTGTCACATTTCTTGCACTTTACCTTGTAGCTGACATCAATCTGACTGCATTGTTTGGTTTTTTTCTTTCGGTTTTGAAACCAATCTTCCTAAAGTACTATTTGGTTTCTGTACTACTAAGATTCTGTGTGGTCGTAACAATCTCGCCGTTAGTTCAGCTACGTTCTTGTTGTAAGGCAGCACTTCGCGGTTATTTTAGAGTTGCCCTTTACGTTGATATTGGTACACTGATGACTACGAGGCGTCTGATCTCTACCACGCAGAGCACTTTCTGTGCTGTTGCAGATGCCACCATCGACCGAATTCATTAGTTACAGATGCCTCCGATGAATGAAGCTCAGTCTGTCGGGACCATCTCCCATAGCGCTTATCCATTCCTAAGTAACTGCGGAGCTAGTTACATCGACAGAACCGATGGGACCCTGAATTTCTGAATGTAGATCGTGTCAAATTGGGTTCAATGCGAGACAGCGCATCAAGCAGGCCCAATTCAGTCTACGTATCCACGCATATTGCTGGCATTCTCATCGGCAGACTGTTGTTGATCTCGGGTCATTGGATTGTAGTCAACAGGGCGTTTATGATCCTGCTGCGCCCTACAAATTCCCGGCTCCTCCGGTTCGCCGAAGCTGTTGCATTAAGCTGAATTAACCCAGTGCTTCGCGTTCAACAGCATTTACCAGTCAACCTTAGGCTGCCATGGATGTAGGATCAATACATCCGTTTTTCCTCTTTTGTCTGTACAGGTGTTTGCACTCCACCGATTGTATTTATTTTCCATTTACCGTTATCCGCGCTGACTGGACGCTACAAAATGCATGCATCTGCCGAACTAAGTCTTCTCTCATTTCTTTCCTCATTTTTGTTAAACTGTATCGTGGGGTGTTCCCTTGTACGATCTCACAATGCGGGCATTGTTGTGTTGCCTGCTAGGAAATTAGTTGGTCTTGATTATGCGGCCGATATGGTCTTGCTGTTTGACGATATTTGCGGGGAATGGTCAATCCTGAATTACCTCTCTAGACTGTCCCCATAGTTTAGCATGCTAGTTCGTTCAAACAGCAGATACTATTGGATGAGTTGAGTTGGCGTTCGTACTTGTTACGTATACCAGGTCCACAACTTGGCAACAGGAAAAGAGGTCGCTGATGACTAAAGTAGGTGCTATTGGTCTGTCTCGCCTACCACGCTGGAGTCTACGTGACCCACCTTGTGCTTAGCTCGAGACGTTACAGGACATGGCTCGAAGTCGGCACTGGTGGCGTGTCTGCTGTCGTCTCCTAGTTGGACTGCATGTTTAGGGCTGTTATCTGCGGAGTACTTGCTGATAATAACAATAAACCGTCAGCTGTGCACCGTAACAGCGCTTTGCTTCCGCGCGACCACCACCAATCGCGCATGGGCTGAGTATACTCTGAGGACACCCGATCCCTCGCGGAAGCGAACCGGTGACCTTATGTTTGCAAGCCAGGTATGCAGGGCACTCAACCACCGGCTGACAATGGCTGCTTATGACGCGGGGCAGTGAAAACCGCAAGGTAGCTGTCTCGCTGATGCCTTCTTGTTTTGGCACGGACACCATCTGTTTGTGACGGTATGTTGTTAACAAGGTGTAGGCACTGTGACCCAGAGTGTTTGCTTGTGGCATTTCGGCTTTGCCATTCGTCTCCCTTATCTCCCATCGATTATTCTTCATTCCTTAGGTCAGTGGTGCTCACCTACTGCTTGCGGGCTGGATCCGGCCCGTCGAAGCATTCCATCAAACCAGGGCACCTTCAGCCAACCTCGTCATTTTACGTGAAATTAAACTCTCTCACTTCCAGAATTAATACCTAGATTACCATTCAGTGGTTGACGCCCTAGGTGCAGTGTATTTGTTGTGAATACTTGTGCAAAGTTGTTATGAAGTGGCGCGGCTTCATGTGGGACCATTGTATCGAACCGCATGGCTTACCAAATGAACCGAAAATTGGACTATGATTGCAGGACATTTCAAGAAAGATAGACACATGCTTATTCTTTGTTTAGCACAACGACACGGCGATTTATTTGATAAGTAAGGAAACAGTCGCCGTTATGAAGGAACATACTGTGAAGAGACATTACGATACAAAACAAAGCTACGTACGACGAATACGGATCGACGTCGAAATGAAAAATAGCTATGTTGCAGGAAAAGCTGGTGGATTAAAAACTTTTTTCAACCAACGATTGGAAGAAAACGTGGCTGCTACAAAAGGGCGCTGTTGTGTTTCAGATATTCTTGGCAAGGCATGCGTACTTTTCTCAGGTGTAGAGTTAGTGTAGAAGTGCCTGTTGGTTGTTACCGAGATTTTTCCAGAATACCGCTTTTGAAGTTGTTAGCCTTACCCGTTGTACCATTACGGGACGTGTGGAGGACATTGGACAGGATTTGTTGACACAACTACAGAAGAAAACGGTGGACTTTCAGACATTTTTCAATGCATTGAGTAAGTCAACATTTGCTATTTCTCATTTGTGGGACTAGCAGTACCTTCGGTGTTACCGAAGTACTTGCACCATTGACAAGCTTGCTTGGCACAACCACAACAGATCTTTTTGATGCAGTCAGTACAACTGTTGCTGAGCTTAATTTGCCATGGAGTGACCAGCGACAGAGCTTAACTCATGTTTGGAGGGCATAACGGTCTAGTGGCAAAGTTGCACCCTAAAGTCGAGGAATCCTATATTAGTTTAAAGCCGATTAATCTACACTACATAATGCACAAAGAGGTGTTGTGGGGTACGGTGCTGAGTTTGGAAAGTGTCATGACGCCAGTAGTAAGCATAGTGAATTTCATACGAGCCAACGCCCTTAATCACATAACGTTCAGAGACTCCAAGAAATTGAACACGGTGACTTGCCGTATCACAGTGGAGTTCGATGGCTGGGTCAAGGAAAGTGCTACAAAACTTCTCTAAGCAACGGCATAACATTGAAATTTTCATATTAGAGAGATCAAAACCCGTACTGCATATTTCCACTTCTGAACAGTTATGGGATCCGACAACCTTATGTACTCATCTGAATGACCTTCATACCTTTCTACAGGGCCGGGGCAAATTGATTTCTCAACTCTACGGCGAAGTCCAATCGTTCGAAATGAACTTGCGGCTCGTCATTCTGCGTGCACGGAAAGACACGCTAGCGCGTTTTCCTATTTGTTCGTAATTGCAGCCAGTACGCAGACAACCGGTGTGCCCTTTCGAGCACGCCGCATAAATGAGATGCTGAGTCTCTTGAAGGACACTTTCAGCGAACGGTTTCAAGACTTCCAAAACATTAGTGACGAAATAGGATTGTTTGAAAACCCATTTGGTAGTGATGCTGCGATTATTCTACCTAACTTGCAATTGAACTGATTGGACTGCATTGCTCACATTGAAGAGTAACGACTTGGGGCTGGAACAAAAATATGTGAGTAACATCTTTAGCCTGGTTGTGACTTGATTGGAACTGGACTGTATGAGTAAAATCTTTAACGTCTATATTTTACACACACACACACACATATATATATATGTATATATTGTACACATAGATTTTCTTCCTCATGTCTGCAGGTGTTGCAAAGGGGCAGCACTAGATCAAGACATTCCGAGAGACATGTTATTCGCGGTGGGGAATGTATCCGGTTCACGGGCATGTTATGTACGATTATTATGGTCCACAGTCTCAAAAAGCTTGAGCACCATTGCATTAGGCCATTGTGATTGTACAGCAACAGTGCGTCAGCCCAAGTGCCTGATGTACCGCTGTTGTTGATAAGAATTGTGCGGATGAGGACCATAGTAGTACTTTTTCACTTTGCTACTCGCGTAGTTTGTACTAATCACGAGAGAGTCAACGTGTTGCAAGCCTAGCCTGAGAATTTGAATCTTTAGTAATGTGGCAGCATGAGACTTCTCGACCGAGCGGTACTAGATGGTCACTTTTTAACTGCTAGATTGTCGCTGCACTCGTTGCAATCCGGTTATGATGATGCTCAGCTAATTCAAGAGCGAATTCGACTTGTTCAGAGTAGTTGTCTTTGTTGACTTTGCTCTGGAATATGCGAACATTTTTATCCCCACCGAAACACAGACTGCGACAAGATCCGCAGCGAATTGTCCGACATATTTGCAGCAAAAAATTACTCAGTTATTTCAGTTCAGTTCACTTAAACGTATAATTTGTGTAGCGAAGTGTGGCTGGTTTAACTACCACGACTCACGTTGCTAGGCTAGCAGCAATTAACTGCCCCGGGCGTGCAGTATTAGCATTTCGACGCGGGAAATCGAATGCAAATCTATCACTGGCTGCGCGATTGCGTCGTATACGATAGGATTTCCAACCGCGGAAGTGGCCCACTCCCAGATTCTCGCCCATTGTGTTTTGGTCAGTTTCTTCATGCCCACACCCGCTCAGGTTCGAGCCACATTTCTTCGGTGACCTTTGCCTCACATCGTCGACTGACCACCTCGCAGTTTTACCCGACTGTTTGCAGCGACAGCTATTAGGTGCAACAAAGAATGCGGTCCACCAGGAGGTTCCTTTGTAACCATTGACTGCGCTTTTGTTCACCCGGTGTTTTCACCCGATGTAAGTACTATTCACCAAACACCGATGTTCCAAGATGACCAACTTCTATATTCAGCTTCTATATGCCTTCAACGCGAAGTGACTGTTGATTTTCCATAGAGTATCGCCGGCTTCAGTGCAGCGTTGTACACCCTATGGCTGATTGCTCTTTTGCTGTCTCCGTAGATGACTGGGCCTCCGAGAGACCAAACAAGCTTTTCTGATACTTGAAATAATCTCCTAAGCGATATGACCACCGGAGGTGATACTAACAAGAGAAATGAACCAATCGGCCACTGGGAGCGGTCGTTCGATGATAGTTGCAACTGTTGTCTATCCAGTTTTGCAGTAATACTTTTCATTCTGAAGGCGCAAAACATACCGAAACGTGCAGCACTACGCATAGACCTATTCATGAGTGCTCGCACGATAGTTGTTGTGTCCGACCCCATGAAAGTTATGTCATCCGATTACTCTGGATTAGCCTGTTGGTCACTTGGAAGAGGTTGAGAGTAGGAGACCAGTAATGGTCATTTTGATCGGAGTTGAATTAGAAAGGATCTATAGGACATCTCTGGCAAACCCTACTTATCGTATGAAATTTAGTAGGCATGTTTCTATAGATGAGAATATCCGTAGCTCGGGATGTGGATGCGGATTTTGAGCGGTTCTCCGAGCTGAGTGATTATTGTGCAGACGTTTCCTTGCCTGACTAGGCAACATCATCAGTGCGGTTTCAGGGGCCTGGTTCGCAGTGCCTCGTAAGCGACTTCAATGTCCAAGTGCTTATTGATCGAGTTCTGCTTTGAATGCCAGGCTTCAATGAACTCACGTGCTTGTCGGCTTTTAGCCCTTCCGATCGCGAGACCAAAACTTTGGGTACGATACGTAGACGACACCTTCGTCATCCTCAAACGTTCCAAATTGGAGGAAACACACGAACTAATCAACAGTGTGTTCAATGGCATCCAATTCACCAAGGAGGAGGAGAACAACGAACAGTTATCATTCTTAGACGTTCTCATACGACGGACTGGTGCTGAACGATTGGAAACAACAGTCTACCGAAAATCTACGCATACGAACCAGATCCTCAACTACGGCAGCAATCATCCGGCAGCCCACAAACGCAGCTGCATACAAACCCTTTTCAAACGAGCACAAACCCACTGTAGCACACCACAGCTGAGATGGGCAGAGGAAGATCATCTCTTCAACCTGTTCAAACGGAACTCGTACGCTGCCTCGCATCACACAAGGTTACTCAACACACCTCGACAAATGTACCAGCTGAAAAGAGAACAACACTTCCCTATATCAACGGTATCTCTAAACTGGCAGCGAGGCTTTTCTTGCCTTTTGGAGTCAAAGTTGCACACCAGCCAACGGAAACCATTCGCAGTCAACTCTTCAAGGTGAAAGATAAACTTAGCAAAGAAGAAGAAACTGGTGTGATTTATAAGATCTGCTGTCGGAACTGCGACAAGTACTACGTGGGACAGACTGGGAGAACTCTTGGCACAAGGCTACACGAACACAGCCTAGCCATACGTCGCCACGACCAGAACTCCCTGATTTCAGTGCACATAAATGCTGAGAACCATCAATTCGACATAGAGCATGCCAGTATCCTCGGAAGGGCTAGAAGCCGACAAGCACGTGAGTTCATTGAAGCCTGGCATTCAAAGCAGAACTCGATCAATAAGCACTTGGAAATTGAAGTCGCTTACGAGGCACTGCGAACCAGGCCCCTGAAACCGCACTGATGATGTTGCCTAGTCAGGCAAGGAAACGTCTGCACAATAATCACTCAGCTCGGAGAACCGCTCAAAATCCGCATGTTTCTATAGATCTTCAATCGGCTTCGGGAGCCATACTCGATAGGATTCCGCATGGAAAGATGCTAGATTTGCTACTTAATATGATTCCGGTTGTACTGAACTCATCCTCTGCTACCACCAAATCCTGGCCAAAATCTGGATTCAATACCCAGAGGCAAAATGTGTGTGGCAGAAACGGCTACCGAAATGGAAACAAGTAGTGTAAAATCAATGGACATTTACAGGTCCACCCAGGAATGTTCACGTCCCAGAGCGGCTGTCAGCTGGTGTGTATGGTATTTCAGTTTTGCTGGTCAATGGGAAGGTCAGTACATGCGTTATGCGGTGGACTCGAATGTTCTGGAAGCGACTTGATGCTTCTGCTATGTACCATCGACTCAAATCGTTTTCTCATTGAAACAACGAGTTCCTGGGAGATTTTGCTCTCTCTCGGACAAAAGCTTCTCTGGCATGCTCCACACATGGGCCGTATCACAAACGGGTACGAAATGAGTTGGAATATTGGTAGCTCGGGAGGCTTCCTCAGTTGTGGCGGAGTTCTCCGAACTGGGCAACTTGGTTGCAAATGTTTCACCACCATTCGAGGTGGCATCTTCAGTGCGGGATTGATAGCAGTTGAGTAGCAGTAGCTGGTAGAAAGCAAAACTTACTATGAGATGTTTGAGAAAACCAGAATTAAACTCGGTGGATTGATAATTTTCCAAATGTTTTCACTCTTAATGATAAGATGACGTTTGGTGACCGCCAATCTGAAGGCGCATTTCTAATGTCCGTACTGGGGTTCAATGGAATGAAGTGACCAACGACTTGTGTGCTACTTTCATCTTTCAATACAGCTAAAGTCGTCGGGTCCTGAACACTCTATTTGCTTCAACACAAAGAGTTATGACGGATCTTTTCCATAGTGATAGGTGTGAAACCAACTTTCCACGTATGCTCAGGGGATTCAGCAAACGGCAGTTTCGCAACAGTGTGACTCTTCGAAATGTTCCGCCCAGCGGACTGCTCAACGCAACTGAGAATGAATCGATTGCCCATCTTTTTTAGCCCCTGCATCGCTAATCGTGGTCTTTCTTTAGCACATGTTCCGTATGGGTTTGGGCGAATGTCGACTGTCCCCTATCCAACTGGATTTCTCCATCTCAGGAGCTTTTGTCGCCTGCCAACATTCCCGTTCAGCTCTCAAAGGTCTAGACACACGTCATTTCAGGTTGTCCTTGACATGCTGAGATTAAACAACTAGTGCGTCTCAGTCAAATAATTCGACGCTTCTCAGATTCATACATTATTTGGTATGCACTTCGCACCTTCAAAGTGCAAAGTGTTGCTGCAGGACCACCAGCCACTTTATGACCCCTTGACGCTTGCTGACGAGGAACTCGAGGGGGTTGATCATTTCACTTATCTTGGCAGCTGCATCAGCAATGATGGGCGCATAGAAACTGACGTGAGCTCACACATTGCAAAGGCCAGAGCTGCCTTCTGGAACCTGCGTCATCTTTGGCGACAGAAGGGAGTTTCCCTCCGTCTGAAAGGCCGTGTATACATGGCCACAGTGAGGGCCGTTCTGGCCTATGGTAGTGAGACTTGGCCCCTTCGGTCTGAAGATCTGAGGCGTCTTCATCATCGTCTGCAAAGTATTGCTGTTGTCGGGTGCCACCAGTGTGTTCGCAACGATGATGTGCGTGGGCTAGTGCTAGATAGTAATAATCATGCTAGCTCCCTAGAACAACAGATAGCATTGAATAAGTTGTCTTGGCTCGGGCACGTGCTACGTATGCCTGGTCACCGCTTACCTAGGAGGGTCTTGTTCAGTCTACTAGGTGTAGGATGGCGCAAGACTCGAGGTGGACAGAAGTTGACTTGGCAGCGGGAAATGAAGTCACTGACAACCAAACTGGGTGCCGTTGGTCCGTCTCGCCTTCCGGGTTGGAGTCCTTGTGACTCACCTTGTGCTTGGCTTGAGACTTGACAGGACATGGCTCGCAACCGACACCAGTGGCACGTCTGCTGCCG